AATTACAGCTAATATTTGAAATTATTTATTTGAAGTGAGAAAATTGTTAATAATTTTTAATATTGGGAAATATCTCTACAGTCTATAGATATAACTATTATTTATTATCATAGATAAGGTTTTATCTATGGCAATATTGTAAATGATTTTATGTTATTTTCACAACACAAACCAAATAATTATAAAGAAATTTTGATTAAATTTGAATTTCGTGCTATCATTACTTTTTTATTGTAATAAGTTTTCTTTTTCACTGAACTGGTAAAAGTATAAAACAAACTGAGATATATGTACTTTAAAAAGAATATTTTGCATAAGCTATTTTAATAATGTAGGATGAAACACAGTTGTTTTTCTAAATAATTGAAAAAACAAATCTAAGAGTGTTTAATTTCAGAAAATTTTCTTCTTCATACTATAGTAATAAGAATGTACTCTACGGTTTAGTGAATTAGTGGAAATTCAGCATCTCCTTGACAATCAAAATTTGGTAGGTAACATGGAAAAGAAGCTCATACCCTCAATCACACCCTCACACATTTATAAGATACCATTAGACAATTTAAGTCTTAGTTTTGGGATTTAAAGTAAAATTAGATTGATCTACAAAGACTAACAAACACACTTTTGTCAGAAATTTATAAATAATTTGTGTTATTATTAAAACCTCCAGTTTGGCATAGAATATTTACTAAAATCAAATAAAAATTTTGACTTTATTTAATCAAAAAAGTGCGTCTTATAAAACTAAATACCTACTAAAACAAGTCAAGAATAGTTTAAAACGTTTTTTCCCCACTTTTTCATAAATATTTTCCTTATTTTATTCGGCATAAATATTTTTAAAAGAAATCATTCTGAAACACTAATTCAAAAGGGACATTACCTAATTATGTTTTAGGCAATTTCAATGTTTTTACAAAATGAAGAAATAATATTTTTAACAAGGATATAATATTGAATTAGTGCTCATTCTTTTTAGAGAAACTAGTAAATGTTTTTTCTGTTTAATATTAAATGTCATTTTAGTGACATTGAACTATCCCAGAAATGTTACTTTTAATTCTAAGACACTAATAGTAGTTTGTGCAACAAGAGTGGATATGGACAATCCACTCGAATTGTACAGTATATTTTTTCTACGGCCCACTAACGAAAATCTACAAATTAAAAAAATATATATTTTAGGTTATGAAGACAAAATAACTAATTTTAAAATAATTTAAGACTTTTACTGATTTTTAAAATAAAATAAATATAAAAAAAAAATTAATTAATCGCCAGCCGAGAATCGATCCCCGGCTTTTAGCGTGGAAGGCAAGCACTCTGTTCACGTATCTGCGGCCACTTTTAGAAGTTTGGTTTTATTATTCGTAATAAAAATAGTTTCATATAGTTTGATTATAATTTAATTGTTTTTTTAAATATGGTCCAAATAAAAATGCTGTTATTTACGATTATATATCACAACAAAAATGTTTAGATTTATCTAGTTAAATACGATGTATAAAATAAATAACTTTTAACATTTACTTATTATAAGTTGTTAGTTACTTGACAGTTACTTGTTAAAAACCGTTTTGCCAAAAATTCTGATAAATTTAATTAAAAATGGCTAGAGGAAATGGGACAAATATAAAAATTCACGAATTGGAAATCAAAAAATATTGTCGGATGAATTAGATTTGGCTAAGTCAACAGTTGGAGATACACTTAGGCATTATCGTGAGAATGGAAGTGTCCAACCTGAAGGCAAAAGTTCGAGTAGACTGGGAATTGTGTCTGATAGGGATAAACGATTACTAGTAAACATTTGCAAACAAATCAGGACTTAATTTTTATAAGATCGGTTCGATAGTTTTTATTAAATTCAAGATTTTTTATTTGGTTTAAGATCCGAAGTAAGGTCGACCTTCACCCATCTGTTTAACGAATGAAAATTTCTTTTTATTAAATAAAATATGTTTATAAATATACCGCAAATGGATTGCCTAAGAAAATACGGTCATGACTATTTATTTCTTAAAGTAAAAAACGACACCCTGTAAAGTATTCTCCAGATGCTTCGACTATGATCAAACTTTAATCAGTTTACCGCAGGATGGATTAAAGCTTAATTTTAAAATTTGGTGTTTTTCTCTTCATCTGTTTTTGAGTTATCTTCAAAATTCTAAATTTGCACTTTTCCTCAAATATCTCGAATTAGGTCCATTTTTGGGAAATCAATCCTTTTCTGTATTCAGAAAGGAAAGTAAAAAATGACTGTGACCGTATTTTCTTAGGCAACCCATTTGCAGTATATTTATAAACATATTTTATTTCATCCATTAAACAGATGGGTGAAGGTCGACCTTACTTACGGATCCTGTACTAATTATTTGTAATGTTTAAGGTGAGAGAAAAACATCTGCTAAGCGAGAAGTGGACAAAAGATGTCGTGGACTGTTGAAGGCTAGTCCAAAGTCATATTCAATGACGAGTTGAAGTTTGACGTGAGTGGGATATTTTCAAAAACAGGTTTATTAAAAATAAAAAGGAACCATTTCATAAAGATTGCCTCAAAATAACAGTAAAATTTCATAAAGGCATTGATTTTGGGTTGCAAGTCCTCAATGGGTCTAGGAAGGTATTAGGTGGTAGAAGGCACAATATATCAAGAAATTTCAAAAAATAGTCTTGTACCAAGCAGAAAGATCTTTACACGGACATGAATTTTATATTTCAACAGAAAGGTGTTGCATGTCATACGGCTAAAACTACTAAATATAATGGTTTGGGGGCAATAACATCAAGGTTCTCTCATGGCCTTCCAACAATCCTGGACTTTAATGTTATCCAAACATTGTGGCATAAAATGAAACAAAAATTGTGTGATGATCCCCAAAGAACCTTTGCTGATTTGGGGATAAAATTGGATGAATAAAGTATGGCAAAGTTTGTCAATCATTAATAAAAACTATGTCAGACAGCACAGTGGTTGTAAAAGCGTGTGGCGATGTAACGTCATATTGAAAAAGTAATTTCTTAAATTGTCACAATATTGTACAATATTTTTTATTATTTAATTCGCATAGTTGTATTTCAATATGTATAGAAACCAAACCATTTAAATATTTATTATTATTGATACACTTTAATATACCTATTGTTAATGCAGTCTTTTCATTTAATAATTTAGTTTGTGTTAATTAACATTTTTAATAAATTTTTGTTTGTCCGAACAGCAGTTTGTCTTTCATAACGGTCATTCGTCACAGGTGTACTTTGCAAAATCATCCGTCCCTCAAGGTTCTAACCTTGGACCATTGCTATTTTTGTTATTTATTAATGATCTCGATCACCGTTTAAACTCTTGTACTCATTTATGCAGATGACTTTAAGATATACCTCTCAGTATTAGATATGTATGACTGTTTAGCGCTTTAGCAGGACCTAGATATATTGTCAGATTGGTGCATGCAAAATAGGTTAATGTTAAATGCATCGAAATGTAAAGTGATGGCATACACTAGAAAAAGATCAACTATAGATTTTTATTATAATATTAATGGTTCGGTATTGTCACGTTGTTCCTCAATCACTGAACTGGGTGTCACTTTCGACTCAAGGCTGAGTTTTGTTGAGCACATTAATATGAAGGTTTCTGACGCAAAAAAATGTATGGTTTTGTTAAACGAAACTGTCATGGGTTCAAGGACATTGGCGCATTAAAGACTTTATATTATTCATACATCTGCAATAAGCTTGAGTACTGTTCAGCTATCTGGTATCCTTATTATAATGTTCATATAACTAGTGTTGAATCTGTTCAAAGAAAGTTTTTGAAATACTTATCATTCAAAGTAAATGGTGTCTACCCACAAAGAGGAATTGATTATCAGCTACTTTTGGACAGTTTTAACATGGAAACTCTTGCGTTTCGGAGAATTCTAGCTTCACTGACTTGTTTACATAAAATCATGAATGGGTTAATTGACTGTCCTGCTTCTTGGCTAAAATTCATTTAAACGTTCCACAGTACAATAACAGATATCACTTAACTTTTTACTGTAATAGATCTAGAACAAATATTCTATTAAGCTCACCTCTCAATGTCATGTGTAATAACTTTAACCTGTACTGTAATTCTTCGGATATCTTCAATGATAGTTTGATAAGTATTAAATCAATTGCTTGTAACTATTATGACAATGCTTGAGTTTTTTATTCTATTCTATTTTTTTTATTTTTATTGATTTTTTATTTTCAGTTTTTATATGATACTTTTTATTTTATAATTCTTTATTTATGATGTCACCTTTACTACTTATATTGTTAATAATTCATTAGGTTGCTCTGTAAAGGGATTTATATCTGTTGGGCAATAAAGGCTATTATTATTATCATTATTATTATTATTATTATTATTATTATTATTTTATTTTTATTTTATTTATTTATACATTGTTCAACAGGTTAAACCCAATTACAGAACAGGAGTACATTTGAAAGAAAACAGTTTAACAAAAAGCATATAGATAATTAATCTAAAATTACAGTAAATAAATTCTAAATTATTTTAAACAATGTGTTTTTATGTTTTTAACACTGCAATTAAATATATCCAACTGTTCACTAATATTATTATATTATTAAATATTATTAAAGGCTATTATTTAGTTGTTAGGGCACATACATATATAGGTATATTTGAAAATTGTCTGTAAATATTATTTTTCAAAGTTCTTTGATATAAAAATATAATGTTATAATGTTCAATAAGCTTATATGCGATAATCTTGAAGTCAATAAATAAATGTTTTAAATTATTCTTTATGTTTTGAATTTTATATAAGTACTCTATCAGAGTTTGCAGTACAAAATGTTAGTGTTCTTGTTAAGTATAATTGTTTTACATAAGCAATGTAAAAGGTATAACTGGGTATTCTAAACTGATAAAGCCCAAGTACCCAAGTCTCATTTAAATAAAATACAATTTAATAATTAGTAAAATACTCTACCTTAGTCCTTCCATTAATGTTATATCTTCCCAATTGTCCAATTTTATCCATTTTATTTGCTCTCATAATCACAGAATCAACCTTACTAATCAGGTACCCAATATTTGGACAGTTTGGCTCTTTACCGTGCACCCAACAGATTTGATCACTTCTAATTTTACTGTCCTCATTATTACCTTTTGATGATACCAATTGTCCATCTCTGAAAACACCCTGATGTTCCATTGTCAGTACTTCAGCTAGAACGTTTTTACCCCTTTCACTGCCAAGAAAATTGTCTAAAACACATAGTCCATAATTTCCCATGTCTTGAATTACATTACTGCACATTTCTTCAATATATTCATTGTCTTCAAGATTATGAGGAGGGTTTAAAGATATTTCAGGGAAGTCCTTTAGACTTTTTTCCTTATGCTTGACTAAATTGTCCCTGCTAATAGGCATGGCAACATTAACTGTATTCAAAGATTTTTCTGTGGATGATAATTCTTTATAATTGTTATTTGGAGCTAGCTGTTCTCCTAAAGAACTAAGTATTTCATTCTCAGAACTACCTTCAGTAGGTAACGATGAACTAAAAGTTTGATTGCTTACAATGTGTACGTATTTATTTTCAACTGAAACTGAATTTTTGAGTTTTTTGCAGATCCCCTTGTGCTTTTTCCAATCTTGTAACTGATGGTCTTTGCTACAATAGTAAGTTGTCTTACAGCGAGCGCACCTTAGTAAATTGTCTTTATTGCCACAGACGACACAATTATATACTACTAGCCCGGCACATTCTGCTGAACTCATTTTATTATTTGAATTGCAAACGGGAACAGTCCCACCGATTGACGGATTGACACAATTTGTGTAAATGAACGCCTTGAAATTTGCCAGAAGGGGTCGCCAGTTGTCGGAAAATCAGCTGTTTGAACTAAACATAGGACAACTGTAAATTCGACATACTTATAGAAATGTACATTGTTGCCAAGTCTAATATAGAATAAACTAAGTTTGGAGTAGAGCAGGGACAGAAGTTGGAAAGGCTTTTCACAGTTCTCCCACGTCATACACAGAAATTGACAGTTTTGCCGCGAAGCTAACCGAAGTGAACGCGATAGAGTGGCGAGTACAAAATTATTTTATAGATGCGAATAACAATTTAGTGTAATCATGTAAATAGTTTAATAAATTGAGAATTGCCGTGTGGAAATTTTGAAGAATTATGATTTGGGATATCATATTACTTGTTTAAATAATTATTTTTACTTGTTGGCCAGTGGCCAAGACGAATAATTTGGTGTTTAAAAGTAACGGTTCCACCGGATCTTGGACATCATGCAGAAAATTTGTAAAAACCATGAGAGATGAGAGCACAAGGAAAACTTGTATGGACATGGGAGTTTTGGGTGATACAGGCCAATTTCTACTCCAGATAGACGTGTACCTGTTTATCCCATACCCAATTGTCATATATATCTCTTCCTTATTCTGACCAAACCTATATCCAAAAAAAGATTAAATAGGGATGTATATATTATCACATGTGATACTTCATAAAAAAGGTAAATACCCCTTCCTAGAATAAATAAAAATACAAGGTTTGTTTTCAAAATTTATGCAACCAGCTAGAGATAGACTGATTTTTATATTATTAAAGTTTCGAATTTATAAATGAATTTAGGTTTTGGACCGCTCTTGTCAAGTTTTCGTAGAGATAATAAATTTTCTAAATAACACGTTGATCTATTGCCAAGAAATATATTTCTTTTTTATTACTTTTTTGAACATTAGCTCCGTACCTATAAATAAAATGTTAAAATTTTTCTTTCTAAATTTGGTTGCACTGTGCTGTCCTTCGTCCATGGTGCTGTCACTGTCAACAGTGTCAAGTGAAGTGTCACTCACTTTTTTGCAAAAAATAAATAACGTTTTTAAATCATGGCAGATGAAACTTTATTTGATTTTTTACACAATGAAATAATAAACTATATATTAGAAAACGGTGACAGAGATAAAAATAATGAAGGAAAAGTAGGATTTCCAATTGTCTATACTACTTCTATTATTTAATTTTCTTTTTTTAAGGATGAAGACTTATCACTGCTTGAATACATAGGGTTTTCTACTGGTTATAGGATTATTGAAAGGTGGATACATTTTATAATTAAAATATGTTTATTTTAAGAAGTATTTTTTAGGCTGACTAAAGAAATGCCTAGATTCAAAGATGAACTCGACACTATGAAATTTGTATGTACAGACTTTTGGTGTGCAATTTACAAAAAGCAAATAGACAATCTTCGTACTAATCACCAGGGTATTTATGTATTACAAGATAATAATTTTAGATTCTTAACAAGTCTTTCAAATGGAAAACAGTATTTAGAAGTAGCTCCAAGATATGTGGCATTTACTTGTGGTGTAATAAGAGGGTGTTTAGCAAATTTAAATATTATGTGTCTTGTAACAGCTGAAGTACAAAATATGCCATCATGTAAATTCCATATCCAAGTACAAAGAACTTAGAGTAAAAATGTTACATTGAAAACAAATAAATGTAATAGTAAAAAAATATGATTAAGAACTTTATTATATAATAAATTATAGCATACCTATTTATATCGTACCATAAGTGTAAAAGTGGGAAAATAAAAAATTCCAGTTAAAGATTTCTTTATTTGGCTGAAATCGAATAATATCAAAAGTTGTTTTCTGTATTGTTTGGTGCTTGCCCATTTGGCTACAAATTGAAGATGGTAGGTGCTGTATGGCTTAAGAGGTGCAATAAATCAACTGTTTTATTTTATATTTAGTACAGAGTTTTAAACATATTCATAAAAGTTCAATATATTTTAATGTTTTTTTAATTTAAAAATAGTTTATTAAAAACGGTTTATTTATAATTTATTTTAACGTACTAATTAATTTATTTAAAACTTAGGCACTATTATAATTCACATTTATAATTCATTTATTACAATTTGTCTTTACTATCCAACACTTAAATTGAAACTTAACTTCTATCGACTAGTTGCACTTTTTATATAGAAATGGAACACTTTTGAAAGATCCAACTCTGACTAGAAGTTCTGGACATTATTCTCCACGCGTCAGACTGCTATGGAAAACATTCAATTCGACGCTAGACTTCCTGTCGCGGGTACGGTAATAAACAAAGAACAGAGTCGGCTTTACGCGACAATATAATGATAATAATGTTATTCCAATATTTGCAATTACCTTCCTCACATTATTGAATTCAATATTCTTATTTTTAGCTTGGAACTTAAAAGTAGATGAAATTGTTTTAAAATATAATACTTTCGGAACATATCCTTTTCACATCCTTTGACATACTCGTACATCATCATCTTCGAGCATATCATATTCAATGAGGAAAATCAATCTCAAAATAAAAATTGTAGAATTTTTTTCATTTTGAACATTTAACATTAATTGGTACTAAAGATAATTAAAGATGTGTATCAAATAAATATAATATTCGTCTAGCTTTTATTCCATCTTGTTCTTTGAACTGGGTAGGTACTAAAGAAAGCTTTGTGTTTGCTTAATATAGGGCGACCGTATGTACATTTCGCTGTTTTATACAGCATTTTCAAAGTCTGGCCAGCATTTGATTTTGTACAGCAAAACAATATTTGTCCAGCAATATGCTATATTTATCTTTTATTTAGCAAAACACCATTATTTCCAGCAATGTTGTGACAGGCTTCTGGTTCACCTACTGTGAATCAACGAGCCTGTGTGGCGCTATGATGGTGATTCCCGAATAAACTATCTAAATGTAGGGAAATGTTTATGGTTCATTAGCGCAGGAGGCTAAGCGGTCTGGGAATTATGAAACTCCCTGTATACGGAACATTTATTAAAAATAAATTAATACACTCGAAAACAATTTAAAAATTGAGAAATAATTACGGTTTGCTAGCACAAGAGGCCAAGCGGTCCGGGAATTATGAAACTCCCTATATACGTAAAATTTATTAAAAATAAATTAATACACTTGAAAACAATTTAAATATGATGGTAATCAAATGCAAGCAAATAAATGAAATCAAAGTTGTCGGAACCCCCTCGTATCTTAACCACGAGCGATGGGAAGCGAACATTTTCGTCTAGTGAGAAACATGAATATTCATGCGGTGTTTTGGACGGCGGAGACGACGATCGTAGAAAATAATATTTTGAAATTTGCCCGATCGAGAGCGTGTGGGAATTTAATTTTACAGAAGTCGTCTGGCTTCATTCAATAACTAATTGTGGACGGGAAACGGAATGATTCAAATACAGCTGAATAAATAAGAAAAGAAATTTACATGAAGTAAGGCGCGTAAATTAATTTAGACGTCTTTTTGGGAAATTAGATAACGTCGTCAGGAGAGAGATCACTCTAATCCGGAAACGGATCGAAGCTCCGGAAAAGAAAATAAAATAATAAAAAAAATTGGAAACGGGTTGAACCTCTCACACTTCAATGTTAACAGGGCGGTTTCTAAGAGAGATTGGATATACTCGGTGACAGTGAGAGCACTCAGAGTCTAGCCTACGTCCAGCCTCAAAAAAAATGCCAACGGTTTCCCACTGAGGGATGAAATGAAATATCTTGGATATGAATCAAAATTTTTTACTTGTCGCACGGGTGTCCCAACTAATTATATAAAAGTCGATAAAAAAAAATAATATACGGTTCCTACCTTAGAAGATAAACGGGGTTATTCAATTAACTTTTTTGAAATCACGGCACTCACGGAGTATTTACTAGGCACTATAGAAGGGCGAATAGTTTTCGGCTGTCGGTAATCAAGAGAAAGAGCTTACGGCGGCCGGCAAGCAAGAGGGTGTAATTCCCAGATGTCATTGAATTTATGCTTTTCGGTAAGCCCGAGTGGGGGACACCACTACTACAGCCGACTGTTTACAATTTAAAAATAAAAAAAATGTCCTAGTACCTTGACAAATAAAGGTAGATAATCGGTACGAAATCGACTCTACAAAATGCCCATTCGGATTTCGGCACTGAATATTTTAACCTACGAGGGTACTCGCAATTGTTGAAAACGGTAATTCCTGGGAAACAGAAATACGGGGGATCATCTACATGTCCTCAGGCGGGAATTAATTGAAATAAACATATTTTAAATTAATTGAGAGCAAAATTTAGTGACTTCGTCACAATGTATACATAATTTACTGGAGCGTATCAAATAGACTTTGAGAGCAAGCAAGAAAAAGGCCCGCGTCCCTCTACATAATTACTCTGGCTTTGTATTTATCTTCCGATAAAGATAAAGTGACCATATTTGAAAAAGTAGCAATCGGGACAAATCGACAACATGGAGATGGGGGGGATAGAAAATAAAAACTGAACATGCATCAACATTAAAACCTAACACAGGAACAAGAATGTGTAACTATTATTAATAAATAAACAACCCTAATAAATTACCTAGTTGGTTATTTTTATTATTTTTACATGGTATGATGATGGTAGGCTTAAATAAAAGAACCAAATATTTTTACATGGGCAGGCTTAAGGAGGAAAGAGCCCAAATATTTTTACATGTGCAGGCTAGAGGGACAACGGGCCCAAATATTTTCACATGGGCAGGCATAAGGGGTAAAGGGACAAAATAATTTTACATAATTTGTAAACTCTAATCAAAAAGCGATATGGAATGGTTTTTAAAAACCAGGGCTAGTGAAGATCATCTACATGGTTTAGCCTAAGTAACGCCAATGATTTACAAACGTTTAAAATCAAATCGTTTTTGACCTCTTCTATGCTACGAGTTTGCCCGTGGGGGCCTCAGTCTCGATAAGATATGGAAACCACCAATTTAACGACTCTCGAATTTTAACAAAATTATCTAAAACTAATTCAATTATAGAGCTGAGACAAAAGCTAAAAAAGCTTTTGGTAGGTAGAGAGGTGGTGATTGTTAAACCAGGTCGGACGACTTCGAGAATTTCGGGGTAATGTTCGTTCACCAGTGTCGTAACATATAATAAAAATAATACCAAACATTTTAAATTATTACTGGCTGAATCGGGCAATTGTATCTATTTATGGGCTATAAGTAATTGTTTAAAACAAGTAATATTATCCCCAAATCATAATTCTACAAAATTTCAGCAGCCATTCAAAATCTATTAAACTATTTACGCGAAATTGTTATTAGTATCTATAAAATAATTTTCTACGCCAAAGTTTCGCATTCCTTCGGTTAGCTTCGCGGCAAAACTGCCAAATCATTTCCCTGCTCTAAATGTTAAAAATGTAAGTGTTGTCATCAGTTGTCAGCACAAAAGTTTGAGTGATCAGGATACGTATTCTCTAAATCATGAAAGTGCTCTTACACGTAAGCTCCATCGCCATTGTTGCCAGATAACCAAAATCAAATTGTTTTATAATGCTGTAGAAATTATCGTTTTTTTTTAAGACCTACTAGAGTGACATTATCGAAGGCTGGTTAATTTAAGAGTTTATGGGGTTAAGATTAGGGTAATGTAATAAGAATTTTATTGAATAAACATAAAAAAAAAACAAAAAAATAACCTATGCTAAAATTTCAAATATTTTCTTGTAATCCTTTCGGATTTTTATACATTCTATACATTTTTAAAGATGTCATAAATTTTATCATTTTATCTGTAAGTTTGAAAACACTCAACCATTATTCAAAAATAAGGATCCCGCACTTTCCTTACGTAAAATGAAGATCGATTAAATTTACTGAAACTTTGGTATGTTATTGTAACTGAACCTAGTTACCAAAAGTGTCAATAGGCTCAACTCAATACTATGACTGGTTTTCGATATACAGATGAGTGTTAAAGTTGAAAATTGCCTAGTTTTTCGGAATTTTTATTTTCAAACTACGAGCTAGATTTAATTTCTGTTGCGTACACACGTTTACTATGTTTTATTAATACATTAGTACCTACGTACAATTACAAAAAATTTTAGTTACAGGGTGATTCCCAACAAAATGAGACCAATTATGTCAACTTACACCTGAGTTCCTGAGACAAAGCTGTTCAAAGTTGTTAAGGTAAGTAAACAATTATGTACAGAACAGTTAGAGAAATAATTATATTACTCGCATTTTTTTTTATTTTTAATGGACCAGGCTCGTCCTCTAAATCCACAGCACACCTTTTGAGAGCAGCTTGCTGAGGTAGATGTTCTTCATCAAACTTCTCAGGAAGGTCGAAATCATCATTTAAGGGTATATCATCAATGAATGGTTCATCAATGTCGTCACACATCAGGTCTGGTATGTTCTCGCAAGATTGGCCAGTGCAGTAGCTACAAACAGCCGAGAATTTCAGTCCTGCAACCGCAACTGCTGATACAACCTTTTTTGCAGTTACAAAAAAATCAGATTTAGCAGAGCTTGAGGAGCTGGTGGTGCCTTCATCTGTTAAGAAACGAGGCCTTGTGTACTCCGCATCCAGCCCCAATCGAGATAATTCTTATAATTTCCCAGCCACTTCTGTACTTGAAACAAAATCAACAACAAAATAAGGAACCATGTATAAAGAATGTGGTCTGAAGCAGAAAGGAATACAAGCAAAAAACTTATTCTCACCTGGTGGTATGTTCGCAGAGAGTGAAATCTTGTAGCATTCCTGGTTGGAGGCAATCTGGCAAATTTCATGTTGGGCTTAACTGCCACCCTACTGAACAACTGGAAGCGAAGACCGCTAAGATTTTGCGATTCTCTGTTGCCTCCATAAAGTGAAACGAGGAAGTTATCTCCAATTTGCTCAGGTGTGGCATTGGAGCTTAAGAAAACCTCTGCGTTTTGTTTGAGGCGTGGCTGTTTTTTTATTGTCGGTAGAAATTTCTTTTTTCCTTGGACAAAAGGTGCAGATGTATAACAACCGCTAAACGCGTGAAGGAACATTGCTATTCCGGGTTGTTATAATTGCGTAAAGGAATTTGTAAAGTAGGTGACATCTGGGTTTTTTCTCTCCCACATTTTACAAATATAATATTGTTATTTGTTTGTTGGAAGGATGTGGTTTCCTACATCTCGTGACAAACCACAAAGTAAGACCAACAAATCTATATCCTCGCCGACGATCTTCACCACTTCGTAGAAAGAGGATATGGAAATGGCTGTGGTTACTATTAACCTATCAGCATCTTCCTCTGCCTGTAATGTTAGAATTTTGTTCTTCTCCAGGTAAGCCTTCAGCATGTCGATGAGTCTAACTTTTCATCTGTCATTCAATAGAAACTTTTGTCCTGGCTAACTGAAGCAATGGTTGTTTCATCGAATATAACATCAGGAGAGGACGTTGCTAGAGCTCTATACAGACGTTCAGAGCTCTTGGTATTTTTGCCTGATATGCGTCAGACGGCTAGCCTTCGAAAACTACAGTTATATTTGAGCCGTTGTGCTTTCGCATCCCCTTCATACGTCGTTGTGCTTTCCGCACCCACGTGGTACTGGCGTTAGCATGTTAGTTTGAATATCAAATCGGTGACACAGGTTTTTGTTGTATTGTTTCTTCCGTGATATTAGTTACATATAATAGTAAAAACAAAACACACTTTCAGTAAAAATCTACCAGACAACTAAAAAAAATTGCAATACTTCCTTTTTTTTTGAAATTTTGCAAACTATCTGGCCTACCAAAACCAAATTACATAATTGTTTACTTACCTCAAGAACTTTGAACAGCTGTGTCTCGGGAACTGTCAGGTGTAAGTTGACATAATTGGTCTCATTTTGTAGGGAATTTACTGGACTTTATTAGCTAAAAAAGTAACTTTTTCAATAAACCCACTACTTTAGGGGTCAAAATTGTCGAACACTAAAAAAAACTGTAATACTGCAAACTTATAAATAGCCGTATCTTAAAAACTATTTGGCCTACCAAAACCAAATTATTTTCATTTAATTGCAAATTTAGTGTACTTAAAAAGTGTTCATAGTTACTTTTGCCGTAACGTAGGTCCTTGGTGGTAAAAATTTACAAAAATTAAAAAAATCCTAAATTTTAATGAATTTTCAAGTATTTGTGGTCCGAAAGGCTTTGGAGGTGGAAAACTTGGATTTATCATTACCCATTTCATCACTACCAACTCATAAAACAATCAGAACTACCTCATTTGATGTAAGGCAACACTTCTTTTTGGTACTATTTCCATGTACTACCTACTTCTCTCACCGTTTACATGATTCCGGCCAAAATGTAGAGAGTATTCACCTACACTCCTACGTCCACAGTTACAGAATACGAGTCATGATGATATCTCATGTGAAAGGCGACGGCAAATTCTTTTTTTTTTAGTTTAGTTTACTTTATAAATTGGTAAAGTCAAAATTCAGATCTTTGTATATAATTATTTTTAAGACAAATAATTTATCTTAATCTTTAAAATATTTTTTAAAATTTTGTATGTAGTTTTTCTTTAGTGGGTGTTTTTTAAAAAAGATCGCTCTTCTTTATAAAGTCCTTTGACTAGAGATATTTTCCAAGAATAATGCTTTACTGCAGGCCTGCACAACATGCGTGCCGCATCCGGCCCGCCATTGTCGTTTTGGCGGCCCGCCGACCGTAGACCAGCATTTAGGTTGTTTCTTCTAGAAGCTCGACCAGTAGGAGTTTGTATATAAATTAAAGGTGACAACTTTTTTTTAGAACTCTTTAACAGACCACACTGTAGGCTCAAGTCTCTCTTGGCGGCCCTCGTGCAGTTACGGTTTTTCAAATCTGGCCCTTTGAAAATCTGAGTTGTGCAGGCCTGCTTTACTGCATACTTTAAATGTTATCAAACAATATTTCCAGTTTTTTTAACACATATTTTAAAATTTCGTTGAATTGCGTAGTGTAAAAATTAACATATATTTCATGATTCTTGGATTCTTTATAGCCAAGATCCAGGGTGTCCTTTAGCACAATTTTGCCTGGAGAACGAAGAAATAATTGTTAAAATTTTTTTTGCCAAATGTCTACTTTTATTTTCCTATTAGTCCCATCTCTGTGTGTATTGTAGGAAGAGTGAAATAGAAAAATAATTAGGTGGCAAGAAAATAAAAAAGGATAGTGTCGATTAACATTTACCGATAGTATATTTTAAATTTTTTGTAGTTGTCGATGTGCATTTTAAATAAATAATAATATCTATAATAAAAATTCCAAGTTTTTTTTTACCTCGACAGGCTCTAAAATTGGTTACAAACCTAAACCCGAGAATATCAATCAAGGAGAAGCGACACTAACTGTCGGTGCCTTTGATATCGGCTGGACCTGTTTCACCTCATGAATATTATCAATACACAACTTAATACGCTGAGAAAACCTGCTTATTTTCTACACTGAGCGAAATCGTTTGGCAAATTATCTGAAATCACTGTTATAGTCCACGCGCATATGTTATAATGTGATTTATTTACATTGAGGTAGTTAGGATAAATAATAGCAATGATGAGATTTAGGCACCAAAATATAATTTCTTATGTATTAATTAATTATTTGATATAAAAGTAAAAGACGTTTATTATTTTATAATTATAAGATTTGTTCAATATTTGTTTTATTCATGGTTAAAAAGTAAAAAACCTCAATATTTAAATTAAATTACCCTTTTCATACGTAAAAATAAGGTAAATAAAATTAAGGGTATACCAAAAAAAAAATAAGTAACAATTAAAAAGATTGATAAGTGCATAATTTCAAAGCTTTTAAGTTAAAAGGATTTTTAATTTTATTACACATTTCTGAGGAAACAAGTGTTTTCTCGCAAATATAAGCCGGATGTCATTAAAGGATTAAGTAATGAGGGTTGGATATTTGGCCTGGCTATCATAGACGAATTTTTAGAAATAGTACTTATTTAAGTACCTATTTACCAATATTTCCAAAATCAAATCCAGTATGATTAATTTATTAAAAGTAAATATGAATATACAGAGTTGGTATGGCCCGTGACGTGTACAAAAAAATTCAGAAAATTAAATTTTCTTGCCAAATGTCTACTTTTATTTTCCTATTAGTCCCATGTCTGTGTGTATTGTAGGAAGAGTGAAATATATTGGCATAATTATTGTAACTTAAAATTTAGCCATAATAAAAAGGTTTCGTCAATTTTGATCAATCCAAACTGAAAAAGATCTTTCTTAAGCAAACACACGGATTAATTATATTTTTTTATTTATGTTAAAATAAAATGAAGAAAATCTGCAGTTCATTGTTTATTAAATTTATTTAAAAGAAGAAAAATATATATTTCTTAAAATCGAATACCTACCAAAAATAAAT